GCGGATATCTCGGTGCCTTAATTGTGTGTCTCTAATTTTCTAGGGGTTTTTCCGTACGCCCACTTTGTATTTTGCTGTTCCTTAGGTACTGTGTTTCGCTGCTAAAAGCTCTTCTGTTTGCTGTATCATGTCATTACTATAAATCGCTCTTTTTACCTTCTGCATGCTTTGTCCGTAGTCTTTTTCCGCTATCCAAGGCTGTAGAACAACATGTTCTGTGAAACCTTCGGAGTATGTTTTATGCGCTGTATTTTTTTTTTTTTTTAGTAGCGCGCAGCTTTCCTAAGGCTAGAAAGGTTGTGAGGTTTGAGTTCTAATCGGTCGCCATATGTAGTAGAGTGTTTTGGTAGTTCTCCATCGGAACGTGTGCTCGATGCAAGTAAGTAGAGTATATTGTGTGTGTTGTATGTGTGGTGTTCGTTGTCTGAACGGGGTTCAGACATTCCTGTCCCTTTTCTACTCTCCGTGTTATCTCCAAGCCCGATAGCCCTTCAAATCTGCAGTTCCCCTAGATTCTCTACCACAACGCGCGCGCGCGAGAAATAGCGAATCGAATCCTGCGTATAAATAGCGACGCTTAGCCTGTCAGCAAGCTCTAGGTCTCCTACTTTATTAAGCGCTAGCTACGCGTCGCCTTAGTTATTAGCTAGAAGATCAACGCTTAGAGAGTTGAGGCGGCTACGCCAGATTAGCTACGTGCGTTCCTTAAGCACTATAAGCAGACGCGAGAGCGCCTTAGTATATAGGCAGAGAATACATATAATATGGATGAGACAGGGATCGCCCTAGGCGTATGTACGAATACTAGAGTCCTTGCTAGAGCATTAAAGAAGAAGGCTGACGTTAAGTTACTAGAGAATCGCGAGTAGGTGTTAATAATTAAGTGTGTGTTAGCGATAGGGCGGAAGCTACGCTGCGCGGTCATCTTTAAGAGCTAGAGCCTACAGACAACCTAGTTCCTAGCTAAATTAGTACCTAGCTGGCTCTATACAACGTCTAAGAATAGATGGACCTTAAACGCGATAGGTCTTAAGTGGCTACAGCGTATATTTCTCCCTGAGACAGCGCTAGCAGATAGTTAATACCGACTCCTAATTCTTAACGGTTATAGCAGCCATATTAGTCTAGACTTCCTCCTGCTCTGCAAACAGCACAAGGTCTACCTCCTCTATCTACCTGCGCACTCCTTACACGTCCTACAGCCTCTAGACCTTACTCTATTCTCTGTTATTAAGTTAAGTTACTACCAGCAGATCTAGGACCTAGCCTCGCTTAACGACGCAGCGCCTGTAAAGAAGGAGCGCTTTATTACCTGCTACTATTAAGCTAGAGAGGAAGGCTTTATAGAGCGTGTGATTTGAGCTAGCTGGCGAGCTGCTAGCCTCTGCCCATTTAATATTAATCACGTGCTTAGCTTATTGTAAGTCTCGCAGCAGCTAGCTACACCTCTACGCCCAAAGCGACCTCGATTACCTATTGAGGCCTTCCTCTCTACACCCTAGGGCCCTCGCGATATCTACCTTGCGCAGCAGGACATCTAGAGTCATGAAAATCTCGGTCGCAAGACTCGGCTTCTGCTACAGAAAGCAGGCAAGGCGCTGGCAAGTGCGAATACGAGAGCAGCAGGGCTAGAAGCAGAGAAAAGACGCCTTGAGGCTGAACTAGAGATCGCTCTCCCTCAGGCCCCTCGCAAGCGCGTCTAAGTAGACCTAAATCAACGCTTTGCGGAAGTTGAGGATATTATGGCGGCAATACATAGATCGGCAGCTACAGCAGCTTAGCGAGATAGAGCTACTATAGAGAGGGCTACAGAGAGGGCTGCAGCAGCTACAGCAGCTGCAACTCTTCAATCTATGTGTAGCTAATGGCAATTGTAAAGCGTTGTTGAGAGATATAGCGTGTTTTGTGTAGGTGTCTCGTTTTGGTGGGGTGGCCAGGTTACCCGGGTGGCCAGCTTATCTATGGGCTAGCTTAGGGCTGATCCCAAATAGCGCCCTGGGATAGGGTTTCTTGGGGGATTAAGGGCTATAGCCGTTAATCCCGTCGCCCATTAATGATAGGAAATTCAGACTACTCCATTCTGTAAGGGGCTACGCCTAAGTACCACAAGAGGCTACGCCAAAGAACTTCCCGCTTATCTATCTTTGTATTAGCGTACGGAGGATAAATACCGTACGAGGAGGACGCTACTCTTCTTTTTCTTATCCTTCTTCTGTACATAGGAGCAAATGCATACTCGTTAGCAGGCCTCTTTCCGCCCATAACACATTCATGGCCCGCGCTGTAGCACAGCGGGGCTTCTAAATCTCTGTCTTCGCTGTTCTGGCGCCATTGAACTCGCTGAGTAATTTCTCCAGCAGGTTTCGGAGCGTATCTGAATTGATAATTCTCCGGGCAATGGTCTTGCTCTCCTTTCCCTCCTCGCCCTCGTCTTCGTCCTCGGCATCATTGTCTTGTGTCAACATCTTCATAGTTTTCCAAAGATCCTTGTATGCGGTAGTGAGTTTAGAGTGGGATATAACAAGCTTTGCGTAGTTTTCGCTTAAAGTTGCGACCTGTGCTTCGAGGTTGCGGGTGTGCATCTCTTTACGCTGATGGAACGCACGCTGGGCTGCGCGATTCTGAGCCCGTCGGCGCTTCATAATCGTCATTATACATACTCATCGAAGGCTGTGGGTGTATACTTACGTCTGAATTGGTGTGCGTTCTCTCAGCTGGTGCAAAACCAAGAGCAGGTGTGAACACAGGCTTAGCGTGCGGCAGTGGATGTGGACTACAGTACACGCTATTGTAGTCAGAGCCTAAATCCGACTGATCTATTGGCCAGGGATAAGACTCGGACTCCCCCGCACCGATTTGGAGACAAAGGGTCTGATGTGTGAGTGCGGGGAAATGATCGTATGGAGAGAACACCTTGGCGGGGTTAAAATGAAAGAACCGGATAAGTTTCTTTGAACTTACGGGAAACGTGCTCAGGATAGGGACTATGGAGAGGTCCTCGTGCACTTCAGATATGGTGGATTGGTGTGGGGAGATATGAGTGACCTCGGGCAACTGGTCGCTAGATGATGGAAAATGCATTGTATATGATGTGTATATGTATATAGTGACGACAAAAAAAAATTGGTGATGCCCCGCGCTGTTCGACTGAAGACAATGAAATGGGTTGAGGCTTTCCGCTGGCAGACTTAGATAATAATGCTAGAGCCTGGTTCAAGACTATGACAGAGACGACGTACAAGTCCAATTGTACCTGGGGTTATGTGATGGAGAAGGGTCTAGAAGATTGTAACCGAGCTAAGATCAGGTGAACTCGCTTGTCGCAGTATCCACCTTTTAGATACCACTAAATTTTTGTTCAAGCGCTAAATTATTTTTAGGTTTTTCTGACGAAATGGATAGATTTCAAGCTTTGAAAACCGCTACAATAATGTAGATAATGTGGCAAACCCATCTTCAACTTGAGAGACGAAACGTCTCTGTTGGGCTTTGTTTGAAAAGGTCGTTCTGTAGCAGACTTGGGAACAATCAAGACACTAGCGGTTTTGTTTCCTAATTAAGCATGTCTCAGATTACTCCAAAGTCCGTGCCACCCTCAATTAGGAAACAAAACCGCTAGTGTCTTGATTGTTCCCAAGTCTGTTCTGTAGGAATATTTGCGATCCTCTCGATCTGGTTGGTTCTTTTCGGCACACCGGGTTTCTGGTCACGTAAGGCGGGATGCTAATGCCGCGTAGGGCCTCGACAGTTGCTGTGCATGAAAACCGTTCCGTTTGCAACGGGTCCGACTTCCCACACTTTGACAGCTTTTCCGGAGAACATTTCATTACCGCCTTTTATCGTAAAATGAGACAAGGAAATCCTTTGAAAGTTTCTTCGGTTCCATCTCTCCGACGAGCGATTCCAAAGAGAGCGGGTAATCACTCCCTGCGTAGATGTTTCTAGCCTCATCTCAAGTGTCGGCGATCTCCGACCTGTTACGCGAGGACGCTACGAGAATAGCTCCGGCTCGCAGACGACGATTCTAACTCCTGGCTAACGCGCCTCGAACAAACATCCTTCAATGCCCACGTTCGTTGCTACACTTCGACATGCTTGCGATTAGGGCGCGATGACACAATGCTGATCAAAGCTAGAAGTTTTCCTGACTTTTACCCGAGGAGCTGCGGTTCCCTGTCAAGTCCGCATGCAAACGGCCTTAAGCGAGATGCATTGTCAGGGCAACACGACGCTATCGCAACTGCACACTAGCTGATGCTTATTAACCACCATTCTGGGACTACACGTGGTTGTCAAGGTCGACGGCTTTAAGATTTAGCACTAGAGCGGTGAAGCGGTATAGGTTGCGCGATGCGGAACTTTACCGCAAGCTCCACCCTAACTCCGCCTTGAACCACGCTGTACGAGACTAGGTTCGCGGGCCAATATCGAAGAGACATGGGCATGGAGCCGTAGATTCATTGACCGGGCTTTGGGCAGGATATAGGAGCTAAAGAGGCAGATGAGGACGAAGACTGAAGAAGTATAAAGAGACCTTCGGACTGCTTCTCAGTAATAGACCATCGCATCGCCATCCAATACTTCTTCGACTTCAGTAGCACAGCCTGACTACTCGATCACATCGCCAATCTTTACGATGAAGTTTTGTTATACCATCGCCCTTGCGGCTCTCACGCTTCTTAACACCGTTCGCGGCGATGGTACGATTATCCAGTCAGACATGTCTTCCAGAGACTAACATACTTCAGCTGTACCATGGGAGCGTATCGACAAGGACGACGCAGTAAGTCACTATCCCACTCTCCAACCCATCTTCCTATCTGACGTCCCATGTAGCTTCTCCTGATTCTCGACTTGCAAGTCGGCCTTTTCCAACTCGCTAGAGACTGGGACCCAACCCTCTACAAGCAGAACATCATGGCCCACGCAGAGATTGGCAAAGTCTTCGATATCCCCGTCATCCTGAGCACGTCTGCGGACCAAGGTCCCAACGGTCCTTTGCCCAAGGAAATGTTGGAGATGTATCCCGACGCGCCTCTCATTAGGCGTCAGGGCGAGGTCAAGTAAGTCATCTTTATCGTCCTCAGCTCTTCCTCCTACCCACCTACTCCAAGTGTCCGTCACTGCGCAATCAGCTAACACACACCCAGCGCCTGGGACAACGAGGACTTCAAGGCCGCTATCCGCGCCGCGAACAAGACCCAAATCATCGTCGGCGGCATCACCACAGACGTCTGCACCACTTTCCTCGCCCTCTCCCTCCGCGCAGAGGGCTACTCCGTTTTCGCCAACGTCGAAGCCAGCGGTACTTACACGGAGCTTGTGCGCGACACAGCAAACGCACGCATGCAACAGGCGGGTGTGCAGCTCGTCTCGCTCTTCTCCATTGTGTGTGATCTGATGAGGGACTGGCGCAACACCCCTGGTGCTAAGGAGTTGCTCCCGTACTTGGACAAGTACTTGCCGGTTTATGGAATGGTGGCTCGCGGACATGCTGCGGCTGTGGAGAATGGAACGGTTCAACCGGGGCAGATTGGACTCATCTCTGGCAACAATGGGTCGATTATTTTGTAGAGTAGTGTGAGTCCTCAGATGGTGGATGGTATTCGTGGATGGAAGGCGGATACTACGGGTGGGAAGCGAATGAGAAGAGTCGGCTGAGAGGAAAAAAAGCCATGTCAGATTAGCCTGCGAGTAACATCAATATCAGGTATGTCAAAGCATGAACATCCAGTACCTAGGCGATCGTTGTGAGGGTTCGTGACGCTTTGGCGTGGGTCGAAGTTAAGAGGGCAGCTCCAGGCGAGGCAGTGGGCAGGCACACGCGAAGATACCTCAAGATCTGCGAGACAATCCATCCCGTTCCTCCTCACCACCAACAGACATTGTAAGCATGGGGTGGCACTAGGGTTGGGTCTCATGTATGAGTGTATTATTCTGTGTATGTACATGTGTGTGATCCGAGCTCTTAAGTAGTCGGACGCATTAGTCATACCTGCTGAGCAGGCATGTGATGTAGTCCTAGGCTTACATCGTGCATCTCAATGTTCACTAGAGTCAGTTCACAGAGCTAACATGTCCACAGAATCACGAGCTAGACTTTGGTGTCCCGCACTTTCAAAAGCTAGCCGAGAAGTGCAACTTCCCTTGGTTGTGCGCAAACGTGCTTGATCCCGCATTGGGGAAAGACGTGCCCCTAGGTAGATGCAAGAAGACGGCCTTGGTCAACATCAATGGTGTCAAAATCGGACTGGTCGGGCTTGTCGAGCAGGAGTGGCTTGCTACCGTCAATGTGCTCCCGCCTAATCTCATCTTCCGCTCCGCCTCGGCGACAGCGGAAGCACTGGTGCCCGTACTAAAAGACCAGGGCGCGGACATAATCATTGAGCTCACACACCAGCGGAAGCCCAACGACATCAAGTTGGCACAAGAATGCGCCGACTTGATTGACCTACTCCTGGCGGGCCACCCTGTCGTCGCACGAAAAGTTGCACTCCTTCGTTTCGGCGTAAGGCACAGGCTTGTTGTACTCTGAAAGAGTAATGGGAGAGTAATACGAGAGTCGTTCAGAACAACAGTCGTCGATGTTCAGGGTACAGTCGTGCCCCCGTTAACTCGTCCCTGACAGGTAGTGATGGAGCGAGTGCGCAGTTCTACAGGGCGAGCAGAGCGTGGGGGTTGGTCGTAGCCGTCCGTCTGCTGAGCCAACTGATTGACCCGCATGCCCTCCCGGCTATTCTTATGTGGCGCCTTGATTACCGGCGCTTTATTCTTGCTGCTCAGCGCGGGATTTTCACATTCTGTTAAATGAGAACTTTTAGCGTTGTAAGTCACCGATGCAAAGTGAATGAAAACACAATGATGCCGCATTTGTCAACTTCAACCCTCAACATTCTCGTCCGTCCGCGGCCGCTTGTTGGACCGTTTCATTGGTTCGAACTCATTGCGGTTCGACGAGGGCGTAGGCGGCAGGGAGATCGGAGCAAGGGCGAGGGAATCGGATTGAATGGAAGCACTGGAGGAGCCGACGGCCTTGGTGGTCTTGAACTTCCGCTTGAGAAACTCGGTGCGCTGTACAGCTCCAGGCTGCCCTTAACGCGTACGCCAGCCACTATATAACTCGCGTACGACGTGAGGATACGTACGCGTCAAGTTGCGGCAACAAGCTGCCCGATGCCGCGATATGGATGAGATGCAGCGGGCTATCGGCTGCTGATTGGGGTGTTGTTAATGAGTATATTGATATACTAAAGCCGCTTAAGTTAGCAACAAAGCGTCTTGAAGGCCGCGGAAAAAGCGGCCGATTTGGGGCGATCGCAGAGGTTATACCAGTCTTTGAATACATACTGGCTTACTACGAGCAGCGCATCAAAACTTACGAGTCTGTTGACTATAACGCGCACGCCGAAGCCCCCGAAGATCATATCGCGATCAACCTTCGCGCTGCGTGGGCAAAAGCCAGCGTCTACTACTCAAAGCTCGACGACTCGCCCGCGTACTATACCGCAACGCTGCTCCATCCATACTACAAGACCTACTGCGAGGTAGCTTGGGCGGATAAGCCGGGGTGGCTTGAGGCCAACAACAGCGCATTTCGCGCGCTCTGGGCTCAGTACAAGGGCTCTGAGCGCGTTATTCGGCCGCCGCGGGTCGTTACCAACGATATTGACGACGCGATCGACAGCCTTATCGATCCAAAGGCCACCTCTAGTGCCAGCGCTGACAATCTAGACGAATACGAGCGATGGAAACGATGGGAACCGCGGGCGGAGAAAGGCTCAGAAGCCGCCAATAACCCGATACAATACTGGATACAACAGCGCGATCGCTACCCACGACTTGCCCAGCTCGCGATTGACGTCATATCGGCCCCAGCTTCAAGCTGTGACTGTGAGCGCATGTTTAGTGAGCTCGGTGATCTATTAGAGCCGCGAAGACGGGCGATATCACCCCAGTTACTGGCGGCAATACAGTGCGTACGACGGTGGCAGAAAGCTGGCTTTGGCACGGGCAAAACGGGGGCGACAAAACTAGTATCTGACCACCAGATAGACGCGTTGTACGGCGTATGCGACTGGGATCAAGACGACATGTAATTAGTATAGGCGGGCGGTCTATCGTACACAAATCTATCAAGCCTTCAAGCCGAGTTTCAAGCAAGCCGCCCAGAACACCAAAAGCTTGCAATCCAAGCCTATATCCAAGCTTCAAGAACGAGCCTCAAGCCAAGCCGACGTCAAAAGCTTGATTAGCTTGCTTGTTGGCAACTCTGGTTGGTAGACACTATAACACAAGACGCGACTACCATTCAACACGCGACGCGACGCGACTCTGGCTAACGTAAGACGCAATAAGGGCGGGATGTCGGTTCTTACCTTTCGGGCCTTTAGCCCTAGCTTAGAATGTGCAGAAGCTGAGGTTTGTTCGGTGAGACTTGATGAGGATGGGAGCAGCCGAGGATTTTGATGAGGCGAGGCGCTAGACAAGGGTTTTGTGCTTTGACGCTGCTTATTGGCTGATAAATGAAGTCTTGTAGCGTTGTATTAAGTCATATATCTTAGGGCAATGGCGCGGCCTCTAGGCTAGGGTAAACAATCTGATCGGCATCATTAACCCATTCCTGCAACAACGTCTCCTCCGCTGCTACCTGTATGATCTTCAGCCGTGTCCCCTAAACGTACTCTTGGTGCCGTTTCTTTAAATAGGCCTCTAACTGGGACTTCACGATGCCTTGCTGGTGACGCTTGCATACGGCAATGCGATGTGTGGGCAAATACTCAAATTGTCACGGCGCTGACCTAGATAGCCTATTAGAGCGCGCCAAGCTGCTAAGCGAGCAGCTGCGCGATCGCTGAAATTCCTGCGCGAACGCGCCCTGTCGTACGCTCCTTGAGCTACGTCCTTGTCTTAGCCTGACCCCGTACTGTCAGCGATATCGTAGTGAATATACTGATCACGTGCACCTATCTTCCCTGCCTGCCGACCCCGTGACACAAATATGGCGTGAAATTGTTCTATGCTGTTACTCTCTGTTCTACTAACGAATGCGCTACATGCTATGTGGGTGCTACTGGAACTTATTCAATCCTACTGGGTGTGCGGTGTTGCTACGGTCATTTGGCGTACGTCGATTGACGTTGCTTTTTGGTGTTTACCCCAAACCCTATCTAACCCTAACGCGCTGGGCCCTATAACCCTAACCCTTATCGGCGCGATACCGCGCGCACGGCTAACCCTAACGAACACGACCACCCTAGCACTATTCATCACATATCTCCCTCCACAACAGTCGGATCATCTTCAAAGCAGGCTCAATCGACGCGCTAAATCTTGTTGCACAAGGCTGTGCAGTTGCAGCGCTCCGCAACCTAAGATGCCAACGATCCCTTCGGTTTCGCAAATCAGGGGATTGATGGTCACTCATTCAGGGTTTCTCGGAGGATTGTTGGCTATTGCCAACGATCCCTTCACCCATTAATGATAGGTACCTTTGTATTTAACCATTTCTTACAGCTAAGCCAGCGCTAACGTAAAGTCAACTTGACTAAGCGCGGCACGGATAGTGTGTGATGGGCTAGGCCCAGAGTAAGGATCCTCGGTTGTACCTCGGTGCATGCGTTATTTGCGGCCGATTGCGGTAGAGTCTAGTGCTGTGGGGTCTTTTTCTCAGCGGGGGCGTTCTCAGTCATGCATTGCTTGGCGTGATTGGGAGCTGTCACTCTACGTTCACGCTACCTGTGAATAGCTTCTCTACCTGCTTGCGATAAGCATCCTTCAGAGGTCCAAAGCTCTAATATTACATGGCTAGCACTTGTGCGACGTGTGCGATAGCAGATAATTGTAAGCCCAGGGTACCTTGCATGGTCACGTGGATTATCCAGCGACCAATCAGCCCACTACTCTATGTATATAAGCTTAGATTACAGACCTCTCGGTGATTAAGCAGAATACACACAATCTACTTACAATAATAAAACACAATGCTATTTTTAAAGTAAAACTTAAGGATCTTGAGCAACTTACGGGTTATGAAACTATCACTAATCAATACCTGCGGGTTTTTGTTTGGGCAGCCTGCCTTTGTTTGATTCGAGACTCTAAAATAGTAATCAGCTAGCTTGTAGCGTATACGTGCTCGGCTGATGAGTAATCTATACACTTGAAGGGAAGGCAATCGTTTTACATGATTACTGATCTCACTATTGCGCTGATATGGCAGTAGACCCCTGCAGACTGGTGACGACGGATATAAGAAGGCCGCACTGCACGTCGGAGTTGTACAGCCCACCGAGCTCAGCTTCAAACCTACCTTCAGAGCTTTCATCTCCTTCAAGACCATCTCCCCAACATTCAAAGGCGTCACCATAATGCCTCTTTGGCTGATCTTCCACCCAGATGGTACCTTCGTAGACGATACATCGAAAGAACTTCTCGCTGCCGACATCACCAAGATCTATACGAGCGTGGGCCTTCCGGCGTTTTACGTGGTCACAAACTTCATCAAGATGCCAGAAAACACCATATTAATTGGTGGCAAGATAATCAGCAAAGAAAAACCATTTATTCGGGTGGTGATCGAACACATCGCCGTGACTCTTCCCAATGAAGATGAAGCCTATAAGAAGGTGGCCAACGCAGTCGATGCCGCTCTAAAGCCGCATATTGCAGACAAGGGGTTTGACTGGGAATTTCACATTGACGAGACAGAGAGGAGGTTATGGAAGATTAATGGCATGTTTCCTCCAGCTTTCAAAAGTGAAGGCGAGAAAATCTGGAGGGAGGAAAACCGGCCCGTGCCTCTAGAGAAGGGGAGCCTCTAAGATGGCGATAGGGGTAGATCCAGAACTGCTCTGAATCTAAAACAGATATCCAGGTGTGATAAAAGCACAATTTCTCAACAATAAGCTAGCATGCAGATTCAAAGACGTGGAAGGAGTGATTGGTCGCAGGCGATAGGGCGTGGATTGGCGCGGCGGGAGAAGGCAAACTCTATCGCCTTACTTCGGCACTAGACTGATAGAGTGGCTACGCTCGGAAGCTTATGCATACAATACGTCCGAAACACTACACAGTGCAGTTCCCCTATAGTTATGCCTGTTCAGTGCACTCCTAAAACCAACCACGCCACAACAGCCATTACAGGTTACCAACCTCACTCGAATAGATCTCCGAACCTAGTCGCTCAAGCTGCCGAGAGTGTGTGGCAATCTCTGGAGTGCTCCCCGCTCGTCCCATCCCCAGCCCTTAGGGCCGCCCGAGTAGTCGCAGATCTCTGATATACATTCCGTGAGCAGCGGAGACGTGGTGACTATGTGGGACGAGCCTTTCGCGTCCCACTCCCCGTTCCTCGGTGCCGCAAGCCATGCAGCAATCGTGGAAGGTGTAGACGGGGATACTCGCAGGGTGAGCCGTGCCAGACCGCATGAAGTTAGACTGGAACTATCCACCCTGGATGAGTGGAATGAGAATGACATACATGATGAAGATCCGCCATCCTGACTTTACTACTCAATCGAATAGAAAGTTACGCTGAACAACAAGCTTACCTCTAAGGATACAGAGCCCGATATTGTGCTAGCGCCTAAATTCTACTGGTCATTGTTCTTACGTGAGAAGTTTGACTAGCAGCTGCAGAAGAAGCTGCCGCTAAGCATGCGTGTTACATGTGAAGATACTACCGTTGTTGTATTAGTAACTGTCGCAGGCAAAGCGCTGTCGGGAACATGAACCTTATTACTAATAACGCCGTGCGATGACCTCCATATAAGCTGAGCTATGATGCTAGAACAATACAAGACATACACACTTCATAATTTCTCGTACTTGCAACATGTCACGATGTTCCATCACCACAGGATTCCAGCCACAGACTGGTGAGCCACCGGGAACCCTTCGGGGCACCGTCGGATCACACCAGCCACAATCACGTGACGTAGGTATATATCATCCCTCTGAGGCTTGATAGCTCCTCAAGGATTCGTCTCAATACAAGCCTATACCGATATCTTAGTGCCTGCCCAACTACTCCTCACAATTCGAATCCTTCTCACTCCTTGTTGGACGGACAGTCGTTAAGATATCCTTTTCACTCTATTTTAAACACTTCGCTACAAGTGTTCCTATCAAAGCCGCGAAAAGATGAGCTCTTTACGCAATACACGAGGCAAGCAAGCTGCCCGTCGGGCAACCGACACCTCCCCAGACCGGGACCGCAGCGTTGCCAATCAATCCGCGACCGAGCAACAGGCTCAACGCGAAACCACCACGCAAGAGGATGAACTCCTCCAGCGTGAGACACCTGAGGTGTTCACCGCAACGAGCCGAGGGCCGTCGCGATAATGGCGAGGACTCCTCTGAGGGGAAGCCTCCGACCGAAAACCTTCAGGGGACCCCTCGGAGCGAAGAAGGGCAGCCCTGCGCAACCCTTACTCAACCACGGGAAGGCGCGCAGCACCTACCCATTGGATCGCATCGATCAGCGGCAGGGATCCATCCCTCTACCGCACCCAGTCAGCAACAGAGCTTCGTACTGCGCATATGCACCACGATAATGCTGCAGCGTCTGGTACTACCATACCTTCCCATGATGGGATAGGCAACAACAACAACGGCGCAACCCATGGCTCCACCCATGGGCCGTCGCATGCCCGGACACCAGCCGCTGGCACCCAAGATTGGGTAGCCCAAGTAACAAACGCCCTTGGGAAGCCGAAGACAGAGGCGACCCGAAGAGCGCCTGGCAAACTCCGCGAAAGAGTAGCCACTGCCAACCTCCTCCTTACGGCTCGGGCAGTCGTCGGAGAGACAACGGCAAACCCAGCAGCACTACGGATGACGCATCCAAACTGCTGAGGGCCCTAAATGCGCCACTCCTCGGCCTAAACTGGGGACACTGGCAAGTCAGCCACCCCCCAGCAGGTAGACCAATGGATCAGAGACGTCGAGGGCGTCTTTGAGATGGCTGCCGTTCACGAGGACAGCCATACCAGGACCCTTTGGGCCCTAGGTACTATCTCCTATTCGGTGCACCGAGAACTCCTCATGCAACGGTTCAGGGACGGACCACCGAAGGGATGGGATTGGGTCAAGAACGAGGAGCGCAACCTCGTTCAAGATCCCCTCCTTACAAAGTATGATAACTATGCCAAGTTCTTCAACTTGTCTGGAAGGACACTGATTCAGTAAACACTTTCTTGCTACAGCTTAGCAAGAGGAGTCTTTGCTCCCACGCAGCTTCTTCAAAACACCAGATAATGAGGATGATGATGAAGCCAAGATCGCCTTTGTCTGGGCCAAGATCCCAGACATCATGAGGCGTGAAATGCAGCGGCACGGCGGGTTTGAGACCATTCACACCTGGATAGACTTCGAGCGAGCACTGCGCAACGCAGAGACGGCCAATCGTACCGTAATCGCCCCGTCGCTATCCCAGGGTGGCTCCGATGGCTTTGGCGGACGTCGAGGCAAGCGTCCAAATGCCCAAACTGACCAAGGTGGCAAGAGGCAAGATCGTAAGCCTTCCACACAGCCAGGCCGAACCTCCCCAGGCCGCTCCGACGGTGGGCCGAAGGGTAACCGTCCATTCACCCCCCAATATTCCTCCAACCGAGGGTATGGAGATCGTCGCCGTGACAGCAGTCACGATAGTAGACGCGACACCCATAAGCAAGAGGACCGTCAAGACGGCAAGCAACCTCAACCTCATTGAAACAGCGCAACCGAGACAACCAGGGCAGATCTGATAAGCCCCAGGACTCGGGAAAAGCCAACCCCTAGTCGCAAATCTCTCCGATTGCCACTGGGAAGAACTCTAACGGGAGGCAGCTTCGCATCGCCGTAGATGTAGAGGTACAACTCCCCGACGGCACCGCGGTGCCTCTCCGAGCTCTTTACGACTCTGGAGCTGAGATTAACATCATCAGCCTCCGGCCGTACAACGCCATAAGATGGAACACTCACTGTTTCATTCCCGCCCGACGCGGGTTCCTGGACGACCAGGAACTGCGGCTTCAAAACCGTACGATGTCACTGTTAAGTGCAGCGACGACGAAGGCACTCCCAAAACCGTGGGCCCCAAAGATTCTGGTCAGCAGACTTCAAGGGTACGACATGGTTTGGGATACCTGGCTGCGCGATGCCGATCCGCAGATCCGTTTCTCAAAGGGGACGTTCCGATGGTGGCCCGAGGGCGACACGGACCGAATCCAAATCACCAACGCCAGCGACCTGCTACACGACATTGCCAAGGGAGAACGAGCCTACGTGCTACACCCTGGGGACTGTCGTGCTCAACGATCTCGGAACAAGTCAGGAAACTGCTCGAGGACGCTGAAAGCACACACGCCTGAAACTCCGACCCCGCAGCCGGGACCAAGCGGCGACGAATCAGGGATGATGACTGGTACGACCGTCGAGGCATCCTCTGGGTCAAAACCTGGGTAGACAGGACAAAGCCCACCTCGACAAGTGCATCGCCGACGCACCAGATCTGGCTGGCCTCCCTGAGAGGCCACCCACCAGCCTTGTGGCAGCGGATTCAACGGAGACCCTCAGCGTGCCGCAGTGCCTCCGCACAAGGGCCGCTCTCCCCGATGGGGAGGAGAGTCCACAGAATCCCACCTGGCAGACGATGAACCAGATCCTGAAGAACTGAAGCACGTCCCGAGCAAGCTACATCACAGATGGCTAGCCTTCAGCAAGCGCAGACACGCATGGTCCGCCGAACAGCGAATACGATCACGCGATAAAGATCGAGGAGGGGAAGAAGATCCCAAACCTCGATATACAACCTTCCGGCAGGGAGCTGGAGATACTACGGGAATACCTCGCCGCGGCGCAGGAGAAGGGATGGATCAGACCTAGCAAGTCGCCGGTCGGAGCACCCATCCTCTTCGTCCCAAAGTCAGATGGCACAATGCGATTGTGCGTCGACTATCGTGGCCTTAACAAGGTCACGATTAGACGGTACCCCATCCCGCTCGTCAGCGAGATGTTAGACCGGTTGTCGAAAGCTCCATCCCACCAAGCTGGATCTTCGCGACGCTATCATAGGCTCCGGATCCGGGAGGGGATGAATGGAAGACAGCTTTCAAAACCCGATACGGCATTACGAGTACAACGTAAGCCGTTCGGTCTGGCGAACGCCCCAGCAACGTTCCAGTCCTATGTCCACGAGCCCTTGGAGGCCTGGTTGACCGTACCTGCGTGGTATACCTGGACGACATCCTCATCTACTCCGGAAATGAGGCGGAACACGACCGGCACGTCGAAGAGGTGCTGGATCGACTGGTCCAATGGGGGTTGTTTGCAGGCAGGCAAGTGCCTTCTCAACGAAGTCAGTGGAGTTCTTGGGCTTCATTGTCACCCCAGGCGCGTCGTGATGGACCCAGCGAGAGTGCAGACAATACAAGAATGGCCAGAACAACAGGATACAAAGACATCCAAGTCTTCCTGGGGTTCTGCAACTTCTACAGACGGTTCATCTATAATTACTCCGCTATTGTCCGCCCGCTGGTGGACCTCATGACACGCGCCCAATCACCGCCGACGCCCGTACCAATCCCGAAGCGGGAGAAGTTCGGAAGAAAAAGGCGAAGAGTCGCAAAGGGCCAACCAAATGGTACCTCCCTTGGTCATGGCCCGAGGACGCCCAAGAGGCTTTCAGAACACTGCAACAGAAGTTCACGGAGGCCCCCGTACTCCAACACTTCGACCCAACCAAGCCAGTGATGGTGCTAACTGACGCATCTGACTTCGCTATGGCAGCGATCCTCCTCCAACCCACGGACACAGATGTCCCCACGGAGAGCACTGGAAACCG